ACTTCAATTTTGGCTTATTGAATTCACAGAACATGGAATGACAGTTTGATGTGCTTTGTCGACCCTTATGTAATTGGATTGAGACTTACTGCCTCTATATGATTCAACAATAATGTCACAATAAGCGAAATTGCAAATGTTCCTAAAAAGAAAAAAGAACTTACACAGGGCTATAAAGTTAAATAATTATATTAAAATAGATATTATACAACAACCTATAAAAACAATTAGAACGGGTTGAAAAATTACAACAACTCCCTACTACATTATATTGAGACAAAATTTACGATATGTTTTGTTTTAAACATTCACCGATTACAAGTATGAGTTGATGGACACAATAAAGATTTCGATCCTATAATTTTATTCGCCGTAGGTATACTTAAAACTGTTACAGTGTAACTGTTGATTTTTTTATCTTACTCCTAACTTGTTCCGATAATTAACGTCAGTGTGCAGTAATGTTTATCTTATATATTTTTTTTGTTAGAAGATGGCCGTACAGTGTGCAGACCATGGACATTTGCAATACTCGTGAGTTGCAGATGAATTGCCACCTTTTAATAAATTGGGCTACGGTTACCTTTGACAACAGACGCACACCAGAGAAGTACCACTTCATGCCCGTCTTCTATGAGGTCGTGGTACTACCCAGGACGGACCGGCCCGTGTAACAGTGAAGACTGTTGCGCGGCCCCACCACAGTTTTGCAATCCACTTTAATTTTAGACGACCGTGGATAGTGAACTCGTCTCTTGTGATATATATAAGTGCGGGTTCGACCCTCCTAATGGAAAAGTACTGGACGATGTACATAGTGTTTTCCTAGTGTCTATGTGTTCGTACATCTATAATATATATTGATTTACAAAAGGAAAGTATGTTTATCTGTCAACGAGTCTATGTTGTACCAGCTCTACTTAGGTGGGGAAGAATGGCACGTTTTCGTATGGTATCTTGCTTCAATTCCACCATCCGACACTCGTGTACTGACCCCTTAGAGCAAAGGTGAAAACCGATAATGACTTAGCAAGCAGAGCTTAGTATTCCGAGGCGCAGATATTGAGTAAGCCTCCGACGGATATCCAATTTGTATGCATAACGCCGTTATTAGCGCGAAACTATTAATCATTTTGTCCACGTTTTTAATATTATTGACCCCGGTTAAAACCGTGACTCCTTCCACACTTTCCGCCGGAAGCGAATGGTTTTTTTATACTTTAATTTGAATACAATGTAGTTCATTTTCAGCCGGAGTTCGAAACGAAGAACATGTCGCTCATGTAGAATTAATAATGAATGTTCATATCGTACACCTGGATAATTTACGGTAAACTTTAGTCAAAAAGACAAATGTTATAATCTTAAAATTTATACGTACAAGGAGATGTTTCTTTTGGGCCACCACTACGTACAACATATAGAGAAGTAGGAATAAGAAGAAAAGTTAAATAAAAATAATATTTAATTCATTGGAAGAATAGAACAATTGGATAAAAATTATTATGCTTATATATTTATTGATTATAAAGCGATATAATCAGGTACTTTAGGCACACATTATAAACCTATCATTGATTGCCATTAGTCAAAATGGGATATTAATTATTTTCTTATGCATATTATCACTTATATTTATCTTGATATTATTATATATTATTATATATTATTATATTTATCTTTGTAAAAAATTTATAAGTCAATCATAACTAAACGGTTACTATAACATATAGGTACAATTGATTAGGTTAGTTATAGTTTACATGGTGCTGGAACAGGCTCCATATATTTGCGTAACATCTTTTGTCTGGTAAATATTTATTTCCATTTCTTTAGCAAAAGCTTTTGAAAATTTTTTGTTCGACTTAAATATTCACTTTGACCCGTTTCTCAAAAGCTTTAATCTAACCGCGATTTAACTTTGATTGTCTACTTTGTTTGCACAGCAAACCATGTAGGTTTTAGAGTTGGTGAAAGAAGTACAAAAAATTCTTTTTCTCCTTATTGAAGTGCCTCTTCAGCTAACGAAGGTTGGCCGTTAGTTTATCAAAAATTAGACTATGCAATCTACATCGAATTCCTATGTCCTGTATAATACAATAAATAAAAGCCATTGAGTATGAAGATAACACTAAGGTCTGACATATACGTTTTACATACATAAACTTCATACGAACCCGGACAACAATTATACGAACGGGATCATTGAATTTTTTTCCCGAGTTGAAATCAAATACACGTCAAACAATCGATGTAAAACAAAAGTAACAACATATAAATTCGGAGAGATTTTGGTCCACGAGTTTAGATGGTTATGAGGCCATCAGTGTCGTGCAGTGACGACACGAAGATAGATACTCCTTCCAATCCTCCAGGGGAGCAATAAAATAATCTGCTCTCAGTTTAATGTGGTTTTCTCCTCAGGGGCGACATAACAGTTAGAGATTCGGTCCGGATGGGCCCGATGCCGAAAATTCCCGATACCCAGCCGTGCCATTCGCCGGCGTAATTGTCTTAATTGTGATAAACAACGTCCATTATCACTGCTTCACTTTACTAACAATACGGCGGCATTTAATTATCGTTAAAAACTTTAGTTTTATGGTTGAAAGATACGAATATTTATCTCGGAGGTATCTGAAAGTCCTTTTGGCCCGTCTGTTCAATCCGACAGATATTTAGTCTAGTATTTGAATGGCTGAAATTTGTATGCGTAAGATCTAATTCATTTACGATTCACTCGTTTATAGAGGGACAGATAGATCAAATAGTAAGGATTTTCATACAACAAAATACAGTGCGACATGCGCTCCAGTTTTATTTAAATAGATAAGCGTAGTATATATACATATATGTACAAATAAATACTTAAAATAATTAAATGACGTTATGTACTTTATAACTTTAATATTCTCAAGAAAAATAGCCATCTGAATAATTTTATTTTTCAATATGTGCAACCTATATGCATCAGTTTTTCAATTAGCTTTCTCCTCTATTTCTTTCCAACATTGTAGGTACTAAATAAAATCGAAATGGTGATAAATAAAGCGGACATAAACATTGATAAAACCCGAGGAAACGTTAGTCATTTATAACGGGCCGCACTAATTTCGCGAGAGCATATTATTTTAGTGGGGGAAAAAAAGGAGAACATTTTCGACATCGGCGCGGGAAATTAGCCGAAACAGCTGTCTCGCGCCATTACATAGTTTCGGAACGTCGTACACACATGACCTAAAATCAAATCTTCAATACAATTATAGTGCATGCCAAGCAGACGGGTTCTTTTGAAATGACTACGCATCTGTTTCCCTCTAATCCCTTATTTCTAGCGCGTCTGATGAATCTCGAATATTCTTATTAATGTCCATCAGCGTACGCGCCCAGTGGTGTTATTTTAACAAATTACTTTTTATCTGCTCCTTTTAGAAAAACAGCGACGGACAAATGAGCTGTCAGACTTAAACGGCCGCCGCCCCTCGCATTTCGGTCAATCTTTGAAAGCGACTGTTATTATTTTATTTTGACTGTTTACTGTAACACGCACCACGGAGAATGCATCGAGTTTGTTTTAATTTTAAAAACGGAACGCGCTGACTCACTTTAATAAATGGGAAAAGAAATTATGGAGTCGATACGAGTACTTAAATTTGGATAACCATAGTTATAAATGAATTAGGTGCTTTTGCAATCGTCAACGTCACGCACAAGTGTGCACTCTTCATGAAATACACAGGGACTGCATAAATATTTATAAGTGAAACCCAAGGATCGTGGCTGAAACTAGTTTTCTTTATTGTGTCAGTTTGTGATCTCTTTCATTTGTAAAGTTTTATGACCTTTTGGTTTTATGACAGCCTGTACTGTTTAGCCTTAAATACTCAATTGCGATGGGACGGCACGATTATTTTCGGTAAACTATTCTCATCGTTTGATGTTCGATTAAAAATAGTAAAAACTTTTCAAAATTAAACCGTTTGGCGCCTCAACTCTCGTAAATAATTTTAATATCGTTCTCAGTTCAATTGCCGGTGCCGACATCAATTTATCTTTTTTCTATTTTGAACGCTTATATACAAGCCAAGTGTAGGTGGTGAGGGAAATTATCTTTATTAAACCTGGTAGACTTTGGAGGCGGAGGATTTTAATTACTTGTTTGTCGCAACTTTTAAGTGATAAGCATCGGTACCAAAGCTCATGCTTTCGATTTCAGCATGGGGTAAGTGCTTTTCGTGAAAAGTCCTCATCTGAGCTAAGATCACGTGCCCAACATAAAATTTGTGTAAGCTGAATTCCTCTACATCATCATAATAGTTCTAAAAGATATCTTTAATATTCTCCGGAGATCTGTCTTCAATGTTGAACTTATACGTTTTCACACAAAATATTTAAGGGAAAAGTTTTTGTACTCGTAACAAGTACCTCCTGACCTTTTCGTGTATACTTAAGTTTGAAATGCGTATTTTTGAATTGTATATTACGGTATCCTTCGTTTTCGTCTTTCAAAAAAATTCTTATTCCTCCTCACGCCTGACACGCGCTACTTCACGTGCCACTTTGTACCGTTAATATTTTATCAGGTTCATAATGTGAACACGCAAAGTATGTTAGGGACTCTGCGGCTAAATTTATCCGCGTTATCGTTGATTTCGGGCGGGAATTTATGTCGGCGTGGGTGCTTCGTAACACTTATCCGATAAAAAGACTCTTGCATCCATTACAATACTACTCGGCACATCAATTTTATTTATTTCTAATATGCCTAAAGTTCTTAGAAAGCAAAATAGTTCTTATAAAATATAAAATAAATACAATAGTTTAGTTTGAAGTTCAAGCCTTGAAGAGGATTATGCAAACAGCAGTTCGATCACCGTTCAGTCTTTTGAATGACATTAAGACTGTTTCCATTCAAAACACGAGTGTTTATCACAAATAAAGATTTTCCCGCTGTTCACTTAATGCATCTGTTTTATTTTTTATTGCAGTTTAGTAGTTTAGTTTAGTAGTACCTGTCTCTCGTACCGGCCGGGGAACGGGAACACGAAGACGCGATCATCCACGAACATGGCGCGCTTATAGTCTTGCCTCCTCTCCTCTACATTGGTAATACAGTGCCAGTGTCTATGGATTGTGAGATAGCATCGGACGAACCATTTGCCGATTTTTATTGCATATGAATGGTGTCTATTAATTGAGGAAATATCAATTATAGACATCGTAAGAGTCGCGGGCAACCAGTGTATATATTTGGCAAAGTGTCGTTCGATGTGGCGTTCGTTATAAGAGGAACGCTTTTGTTCAACAGTCGACGTCTTCCGGCTTATGAAGACGAAGCATCTATTGTCGCGCTCAGGCTGGCATGCCGAGACTGCAAATTGTATGACGCTCTCGTGCTTATAGGCCATTACTCCTATGAGGTCCATAACTAAATACATGCTGTTATTATTGATATAATTGTAACGTGTGATTTCATCACTTTGTCGAAATTGTTTTTCTAAAGACTAGGCTGCATGTCATATGAACCTTTGCCAGTTCGAAAGGACGAATATAAAAGTTAACTTCATTTGGTCGTACTTGTCATTTGAGATTGCCGCCGGTTCGAATTGACATTGGATAAATTAATTTTTGTGGATCCACTATCTTCGACTGGTAAGTAGTTACTTGGTTTAGTTCATGCCAGTGGTTGTTTTGTTTACGTATTTCGTTTTCTTATCAATTCGCTTTTTTTACAGTGCATAGCTAGAGGTTGAAATCAGAACACGTTCCTGATCGTATTATTTGTGATTGCTGTCTGGGAAACTCTGTGCTGGATTTGTTATCCCTCGTGGTAATTTTCACTGGTTTCCTACTAAAATTGTAAAAGACTTGCATTGTGAATGTATTTAGAAATGTCACATGAAGGTAGGTTGAGAATTTATTGTCTCGTGTTTCTAAGTATGGTTTTTCGAATATCACAGGTGGATGCTGAAGGCATAGGTGGCTGGCAAGCTGATCTGAGCTGCTGCTCGATTGAATGTTGTTTTTTACCTCCAGTTGGTAAGTGTTTCACATCTTATAATTGTAGGTGGATTCAAATCCCTGCCTTTGTTAGTTCTACAATGTAGTGTTTGTTGGCAGGAGGTCTCCTACATACCCCCCAACAGTGAAACTGTACACACTACACTTGGCCTGACTTTATCTACTGGTTCTGAGCTCAACGCTGACCTGTGCACACAGGGCAGATGTCTCTACGGTGACATAGATTTTAAATAACTACCTGATTGGACTTTGTTTTTTAAATTGAATTGCATAAGTTTTACCATCTCAAATTAATTTAATTATTTAACCTTTTATGGTCGCACAAAGTAATGTGTAGGTCCTTTGTACTCACGACTCCCTGAGATACTTAATTGTATTTATTACAACAGTCTGTTCCTAACAGACAAGGCGCCCAACTCATTATTATTTTTATATTTTTTTAAAATATATTGTATCTGAGCTAGTCCAGGGATTGTAACATTAAACTGAAGGGATGAATACAACTTCTTAACTGCTAATAAATCTTTTATTAAATCTCCCATCATTAACTATACACTCCTATATAAAAACGTTACATAATGAAATGAGTAAAAAGAAAATTTTATTGTTTTTTTTTTGTAGTTCAACTCTATTCTCATTATTTTAGTCCATACTTCTGTATTGGTTTTTGTTTGTTACAAATTCTAATATTTTTTTTCATTCAGTGTTAAATAAAATATGAAAAGGTAGCATTATAAAAACGTGTAACATCTTTTAACTTCGGGACCGGATTGCTAAGTAGCGGTAAGTAGGTAACAATGTTTTAATTTGCGAACCAGAGATGCTAAAAGGAACGAAGCACTTAAGCGCTGCAATCCCCAAGGGATTGGCAAAAAGCGTGATTACTAGATAAAGAGTGAAGGAAGTTGCTTTTAACGACTCCTTAAACGATTCTAGAACATTTAGAGTGTTAAAATTACTCAAGTCTGTATATTGTATTAACATAGCCATGAAGAAATCGTAGGCTCCATAAACTAGAGATCTATTTAGTTGTCGCTGGGACTTTTTGGCGCGAGGTTGTTAAATTAATTTTTAATTATTCCGTTTTCACAGAAGGCCGGTGTCTAGTAGAAGTAGTTACACTTTTGCATTCTTGCTGGTAAAAAGGTAAGTAAAGTAACAGCCTATAAATGCCCCACTACTGGGCAGAAACCTCCTTTGTACGGAGGGTATATTGAATTAAAGGCATTTGCATTTTTTGCCGGTGGAATAGATTTAATCTCTTAAGGATTAATCTCGATGCAACTTACTGCAACGGGTTGGATGTCCAGTAATATATCAATAATATCCATTAAACTGTTTACACACTTGCTACCATGCACTTATAAAGTAAAGGATTGTGTTCCATCAGTTTAAAGAATATGTTTGTTTTAATATAATTAATTTACGAATTTTATCGCATTTTTACGACCCGTTTGGCGTATATTATCCCGTATGGCGTATAGTATCAATTATACGGGAGCTGCTACCTTTTTTTTACATAAGCTTGTAGCTTTGATTAGTTTAGGACTACCTAAAATTGTGTTAAAGTATGTCCAAAAATATTTATTTATTTTAGACTCCCTACAAATACTTTAAAGCATTCAGCATCACGTAACCCTAAGAGAACACAGAAAATGTGTATAGAAGACAAATAACTCAAAATGCAATTGTTTAATTAAATAACTATTATTGCTTTTCATGGTAATATGGTCGAATTTGGTCGCCTTGCAACCGACTTCCTTGTCGTCTTATGGTTGTCGGTGTGCGCGCTTCGTAAAACTCATTTTTTCCAAACAAGTCAAAAGGTAACTTTAAAAATTATTTTTCTAATCGAGAAAAGATCGAAGTCGTGGGTAGACAGATGCTAGTGCAAATTTTTCATGAATTATTCCAGGCCGGGTGGAGCGGCGTTACATTGTCGCAGTACGACGACTATGCACTAAACGGCCGTCGCGCTACATTGATATTCGCAATAAATTACATTGTACTCGTTTTAAACTCGAGCGCTTTGTTGAATTACAAAAGAAGTAAAGAAGAGTCGTTTAATATTCAGGGGGCCTTTGTAATTTTATCTTGAACAATCCCTTCCCAAGTGGGAAAGGATCCTAATCTCCGTCGCAATTACTTTTATTTCAATTATTCGGGATTGTTACATTAGCAAGCATTGATCAAAATCGACAACGCTTTTATGTGCCACTAGAAAAGTAAGCGTTGTTGACGAGTTAAACAATCTGATAAATAGGCAAATAATATATTGTATCTTTTGCTGTTTTACACGAATGAGTTCACTGTGGATTTGTAATAGAATGAAGTTAGAGTTCTATAGACTAGGTAGGAAATAAGGCGCTAAATTAAACGGCCTTTTACTGTAGAAATGCTTTCGATAGGATTCCTTTCGCTAAATCGCTCTTTACCATTGCACTGTGGAACCAGATGTCTCTTGTACCAGAGGGTGTGGGTTCGATCCCCACTACTGGAAAATATTGTTTTTCTAATGTCTCGGTGTTTATATATCTATAATATGTATTAATTTACGAAAGAGAAGTATGTTTAAGTATGTTATCAGGAACCTAGTACCATTGTGTAAAAATGTCCCGAAACATTTATTTATTTATTTATTTGTTGCAAAGAACTATTTAATTTGTGATACAAAATCCCGTACTCATTCAAATATGTGTATCTTTTATATATGTGACGCAATGACAGGGCCAGCAGAAAGATCGGAATTCATTGTCGTGGTAACAAGACCGGGTTTAACCTCAAAGCAATTGTGGACGGTAACTTTTTGCGTGTTCGTAAGCACAAAGTTGTATATAAACATTTTTAATGAGTACTTAAAGGATTTTAATGCGTTAAATCTTTTAATTTCGTCCTATTATAAGTTACATTGGGTGCAGTTGGCGTGCTTTGTGGAGTAGGCTTATTTTGAGCAGTCGACTAGAACATGCTGTAATTTGGATGACGATGAAAAGTTTCAAGACTTTGACTGACAGTAATGTCATGTCAAAACTTCAAGGATTCCTGAGAATGATTTAAAATATTTCAAAAAGTCGGGAAAAACTGTTCAAGACATTTAACTAAATTTGTTATTAATATAAAAAGTACAATATTGTAAAACGTTAAATTTTGACTTCTATTTTATACGCAAAACAGAAATGTTACGTTTAAATATATTAAATAACGACATGATAGTGTCACCAGACATAGTGCTCACTCACCCATATATTATTTAACTGAGAGATAGTTTAAGTCCAAAGTTGTATCATTAAAAGTTACTGGTACGCGCAGGGCTTATAAAACATCTATCGCAATCTTCACAGCGATATTCGCAAGATCTGAATAGTTATGTAGCAGATAGAATTCATACGTAATTATTGCCAATATTTACGTACGACAAACTCAAAGCTCAGCGTATAGAATGAATAAAAGATTTTATTCAGAAGGGAATTCGGTATCGTTTCAACCGAGGCCTCTCATCGCCACTCTTGTATTGTCTCGTAAAGTGCCGATTCTATTCCTGGGAGGTTTGTTTATTCAGGGAAGGGACGGGAGTTAAAAACGTATCATTACGATGCCGAGACGCCAAATTTTTGTGCGATATACATAAATGTACACTCATTCCGTCCATTGACTTAAGGAACTTTTAAAATAACTAGTACAAGCTTTTTTTTTAAATATTTCATATAAAGGGATAGGAAATAAATGTCATGGTGACACCTTGGCTTGGTTGGCAAGCTATTGGCTTCGGCGTCGGAGTTCGTGGGTTCGATTCCCACATGGGACAACTATTTGTGTGACAAATTAATTATTTCGCATCCGGGTGTTTAACCCCGTGAAGTTTCTAAAACGTCCTTACAACACAGGATAATTAAATCCTAAACTAAGGTTAATGTTTTTTTTATGTTAGCCTTAGCTTCTGCTAAAGCTGTATTGGTGTAATTCTATAATAAACAGGTACGCATATACTTTTAGAACGAATTATGTTGTAAGAAAAAATTACATTAATATTTATGTATATTGTATTTTGAATAAAACAAATATAGTTAATGCAAAAAATAATCAATCTAGAAATAAATTAATATATAAAACATAAAGCCCCAGAACGAAAAACTTGATTGGTTATGCTTTTAAGTAAGAAGTTTCCTACTGCATAATAAAATATTCCATTCCCATAAAATAGCACAAAACAAGGAGTGTTAATAGTTTAGAGCGTTAATGCGTTTTTGTGTTTATATTAACTACGAACAATTATGTGTACATAGTTCGCAGCACATCGAGGAATGCCAACAGAGCTAAGCATTTATGGACGCAATTCCCTTGATTATTTCCAATTCAAAGCTCAGCGCTGAAGTGGTCATTAAGTTATAACCAAACAAAGTACCCC